ACCCAGGTAGAGGCAACCCCAAACAGTCCACAGCCCAGAATTGTCTGGGAACACATTCCCTAGAATGGCAGGTGATCTGTACAGAGTTTCTTGGCAGGCAGTTAGCAGAGTGCACAGCTGTACGCTAGCTACTCAGGAGGCTGAGATAGGAGGATCAAGAGTTCAAGCCCAACCTAGGCAATTTAGCAAGACTCTGTTTCAAAATAAAAAATTCAATAAAAAGAAAAGAACTGGGATGTAGCTCAGTGGTAGAGCAGTTGTTCAGCATCCACAGGCCCTGGGTCAAATCTCTGGCACTGCAGAAAAGAAGATGGAACTGCCAAAAAACGTAGGATAGACAGGTGTGCCCGGGACAGGAGTTTTCGTGTCTCCCGTGTGAACACGGTTGGCTGCTTTCAGACTCAGACCACTGCTACCCACCATCATGGCCTCACCCGACCCTCACAGTTACACGCGCCCATGAGGCAGAAGGGGAGGGGAGGATGCTCACTTCCACTTGTCACAAAAGGAAATAGAATCCCAGAGAGGCCAAGTGACTGATCCCAGGCCACAAAGCGAACTGTAATCTAGGACCTGGACTCCAGGGTCCTGACTCTCCCAGGCCACCTCTGTGAACACATTCATGGTAAAAATCATGGGTACGCTGAGACCGGGAATCGGTGTGTGAAAGAATGCCCAGTGAGTAGAACAGAGGGTGAGGCGGAGGTAAACTGGGAGCCCCAGTAGGATCACGCTGTAAAGAACGTCCCTGAATCTGTAGGAGTAATTGGTGCTCGGCCCACTGGGGGCTGCTTCTCTGCCTGGCTCTTCCGTGAAAACCCCTTCTAGGAGAAGAAAACCATAATTACCTCCTTGGGACAGCAGAACGCTCCGAGACGTGTGACAGGGCTGGGCAGGGCTGGGGAAGCAGACACAGTGTCCTGATGTCTGTCGTACCTGGAAAACCAAAATATACTTCCTGTTGTTTTTGTCACTCCGACTACAGCAAATCAAGCAGGACAAACCCTTTGAGGCTGGGAGAGACCCACAGACGCCGGAGAATTCTTAAGCGGGACAAAACCGTCCCCAGGGGTGGACAAGGTGTCTGAAATGCCAGGGCCTGAGAAGGGAACTGGTTGGGGGTTTGAATAGGTCAAGAAAACCTGGACTAGCAAGGGATTTAGCTCAGTGGTTAACCTCCTGAGTTCGATTCCTGGTACAAAAAGAAAAAGAAAAAGAAAACCTGGACTAAATGCGCTCTTAGTTTCTCCAAGTCCCTCAGTCTGGAAAATTCTCATTTGTTTGTTTTGTTTTTTTTGAGACAAGGTCTCACTATGTAGGTGAGACTGACCTAGAACTCACTATGTAGCCCAGGATGGTCTCACAGAGATCCTCCTGCCTCAGCCTCCCGAGTGCTGGGATTACAGGCGTGCGCCACCACACCTGGCTGTAAAATTCTCTTGACAGGTTACCAATTGTCCCAATTGTCAGAAGAGGATTTTGTTTTTTGATTTTTTTTTTTTTCCTTTGGCACTGGGGATCAAACTCCGGTCTTTGTGCTTACAAGGCAGGCGGCAGAACCACTGAGCTAAATCCCCAGCCCTTGAAGAGGATTTTGAAGTGAAATCAGGATTTCATGTTTTTGTTTTGTTTTGTTTGAGAGAGGGTCTCGATATGTAGTTCAGGCTTGTCTTGAACTCACTATGTAGCCCAGGCTGGTCTCGAACTCAGCGATCCTCCTGCCTCAGCTTCCTGAGTGCTGGGATTACAGGCACGAACCACCACGTTTTAAGGACGTCCTTCACCCCACTGCAACCCTTATTCAGGGCTGCACAGGGGCAGAATTACCAGAGATCTACGAAAGACCAGAGGGGCCAGGGCTGGCCTGGGAGCCTGTGGCTAGGTCCTGTCCCACCTCTCCCTCTGCCTGGCTCCCTGAACTCCAGCGCCCTCCAGCCAGCCCACAGACATGCTGTGGGGTCCACACTCCCTTCCACCTCTGAGGTCTCTTCTTCCTTTTCAACGCCAAGCTCAAGAAGCTTCCTCCCACCTCTCCGCTCCTTCCTCTTCCATTCCCCACTGGCTGCCTCCCCCACGGCTTCCAGCAAAGCTTGGGCAGAACCCCGCTTGGCTGCTGCCTGACACTGACTGCTCTCTGCTTCTGGAAAGTCTCTTTGCTCTCGGCCTCTTTCTGTTGTCCTTGCCTATTTCCCCTCCTACTCAGTTCAAGTTTCGTTCATTTAACTTTTTAGGACTGAGCAGTTATTGCTAGGTTTTTCCCAAACGCCTGTTAGTGTCCACTTAGCCCGCAGGTCTTTGGTGAATACGCACCGAACAGGAGCTCCTGTGCCTTTCCTTGCCTTCCCCGCCAGCTGACCCTGTACCCTGAGCCCCGGGGTGGGCTGCCACTGTGGATGGCTCAGCTATGCTGGTCCCACACCTGGCCCTGGCCCGGTCTGCGTGTAAAACCCTAACTCTGAGGCCCTTCCAGGCCCCGAGCCCCTCGGTCTGCTGTCACCAACACAGCCGAAGATGCCCTAACCCTCTCCCGCCCCCTTTTATTTCCTGACAGGGATTGGACATAAAAATGGAGAATCATTCAGTGGGTTTAAAAGAAGACTAAATAGAGGAAAGGAGAAATGAATATGAAAACAGAAAAAAGTAAGGAAATAGAACAGTATCAGAGATCTGAGGGACAAGATAAAATGCTCACACACGTGTAGTTGGTCCTGTCAGCCCGGCCTGGATTTTCTCGTTCAGCTCTTTCAGTTGTACTTTCCTCTCATTTTATGTATGGGATCGGGGACAGAGAATGGCAAGGGCTGGATACAGGAATTAGGAGCGTGGGAGGGCGTGCCTGTGATCCCAGCACTCTGGGAAGCTGAGGCAGGAGGACCGCAAACTCACTCTCAGTCTGAGCCATTTCGTGACTTAGTAAGACCTGTCTCAAAATAAAAATAAAAATAGGGCTGGGGATGGAGTTCCACATGAAAGCCCTCACTTCAGCCCTAAGCACCATTAAAGAAATAAAGTGGGCGTTAGGAGACAACTCTGGGAGAAAATCTTCCCTGGGTTGTTTCTGTGTGATGTTGGGCTGGTCACCCAAGTTTCCCGTACCTTGGTTTTCTCACTGTCCCTACCTGGCAGAGTTAAACAAAAGAATGCAAGGAAAAAGTCCAGCACAAACCCGGACTGTGGCAGGTACTCCGCAATGCTTTTATTACAAATCTGCGTGGTCTCCCTACCACCATCACCCACACTCTTGCTTTTATTTTTATTTATGTACACGCCTTTCCAGATTTGGCCTGAATGCAAGAAAGTTTTGTTCGTACATTTTTACAATCATGATACATCATACCATTATGGATTCTGCTTTTCAATTTATTCTTAACAACAACAAAAAAGCTTCCCATGTTGCTACTGAGTCTTTGTTGTCATTTTGAAGGGCTACGTAACAGCCCCCGCCTCTTCTGTGGACTGACCTTTATTGGTTTTTTCTTTCCCTCCGTGTACTATTTTCCCCAAGCTCCTGGTGTGACAGCAACAGGTAGGCTCTGGCCAACCACTTCCTCCTCCGGCAGGGCCGCCATCGACTCAACTCCTACTCACCAGCTGCCAATCTTAAGCCCCGGAGTCTCCTCCCTTGATTCACTGGCACCTGGGGAAACTATCTGGCCCAACAGACTCCAGATGGGAACACTGAGGGCCTGAGGGAAGGGGGCCTGTGAGCAGCATTCTGATGGCCCCTGGGTTGTTTCCAAAGCATCCCGAACGCATGCCCTTGAGATCTGAACGCAGAAAAGAGCAGCTCCCCAAGGAGCTGACTTGGCACTACTTTTTTTTTCTTTTGGTTTTTTGAGACAGGGTCTCCGTATGTATTTGAGACTGGCCTGGAACTATGTAGCCCAGGCTGGTCTCGAACTCACAGCGACCACCCTGCCTCAGCCTCCCAAGTGCTGGGATTACAGGCGTGTGCCACCACACTTGGCTTTGGCAGTACCTTCTGAAGTTGAAAAATGGCCTTTCTAGATCCTCTAAGGCAGAAGCCTCCTGGGAAACCTGAGCACTGTCCCAAGTGGCTGGGAGGCACAGGTGATGAAGTGGAGGTGGGAAGAGCTGTGCACAGGTGAGGCAGGTAAAGCCCAAGTTTCCAGGGTCTGCGCTGGGTCTGAGCTGCCCGGTCACTGGCAAAGCCTCTGGGAGGAAGCAGAGTCCTCCACTGCCTCTCAGGAGGGCTGACTCAGCCCCATCTCAGCTCACTGTGCAGCTCACAGGGAGGATGGGCACCACCCCCGCATCTGCTCTGCATCCCAAACGCACCAAGAGAAGTGTGCGACACAGAGGGGCCACTACCGATTTTCACCTGTGCGGGCTGACCTAACAAAACCGACCTGCGCGGCGCCCGTCTGCCTCTGCCTCACACGCTTATCCTGACCATGTGCAAATAAAAGGCACTAGCGCTCGGGGTGGTCTGTCAGGCGAGCTGGCCCCTGTTGGTCTGTGTCGGTTAGAGACCTCTGGGGGACCTGGCTGCCACCCTGGGAACTGGTTGGTTACATCTGGGAGGGAGCTCTGAGGAACCAGGCCAACTCCCGCGAGCTTCAACTGGGCATCCTCGCTTGCTTCTTAGCACTGGACTTTGGAGGGTTTAACAGAGTGCACGTACAGCCACGAGGCAGAATTCGGGCACTGGCTCTACCGCTGGCCACGCGTCCTTGGGCCAGCTATGAGATGGAGATAGTATCACATTCAGGGGTCTAGGACCCGTAAGGGTCCCGGGTCAAACTGAGAGTCCAATCCCAATTCTGCCAGCTCCAGACACCCCGGCCCTCAGAGCCTCATTTTATTCACCTGTACTACAGGGCCGCAAACGGCACCTACCTCCTAGGGCACAGGTGGTCGGGACTGCACGACACAACGGAAAGGGCCGCAGGACGCTCCACCCTCCAGCCCTTCCTTCCGTAGGCAGCACCTGGGGGCTCAGGACAGGACACGGGGGGTCATGTCACGTCACAGATCACTGCCGGGGAGGGGCAGAAACTTTATTTGTAGGCCTTGTGCAGTTTTGAGTGTACAGGCTTCCCGCCGTCTAGGGCACAGGGAAGTGGAGTCTCGTGCACAAGGTCTGGGGGGCTCGCCTTGGGGCTCTGTCCCTGCCAGCGCAGCCGGAAGAGGTTCTCGCTAGCCCCTGGGCACCTCTGCCGAGGGATAAGGCACTACGTGTTCTACAAGAAGGCGCTTCTGGACGGCTGGGGACAACGAGGTGGCCTTCTCAGGGGCTGCACAGCTGCGGCTGCTGCGGGGTCACGTTGAAGTCGGGGGCCCCCAAAGGGCCGGACGGAGAGGAGGCCTCAGGAAGGGATCATGCCTTTGCTTCTCTTGCGGTCAGCCATGGTTCTCCGGTTGTGGTTGGCTCTCGTCGCTTTGCTGGCTTCCTTCTTCCGGCGTCCCTGTGCTGTCTCCCGGCTCTGTCCATGGCCCCGGGGGCTGCCCGCCACTGCTGCTGAGCTGTCGTGGCAATATCTGAGTGAGGGAGCAACCGCCCATCCCCAGAGAGCCCATGAGCTTATCGAGCTCTGCTGGGAAGACCCACAGGCTGCCGCCCGCCAAGGACACGCGCCATGGGCCAGGGCAGGCGGGAGGGGAAGGAGGAGGTAGGGTTAGGGGCTCTGGCCAGCCCTCTGCCTGGTGTTTTCTCTTCTTTAAGCCTCACCTCCAGATGCGCCCATTGCTAAGCTGTGGGGAAGCAAAACTAGAGGGCTGATCACAGCCTATGTGGCCAGGAGGCGCTGGCTTAGGTGTGTCCTCCCTTCTCCATGCAGGGCCGGGTGTATGTAAGACACTTCTGTCCTGCACTTGAGACCAAATGTGCTCACAGACACAACCTAGGATATTTTTTTTAGTTCATCTCAGCTGCTAGGGTTTTTGCAGAGCTCTATACTCAGGGATTTGGGATGAGTAAGAAGTCAGAGTGGCTTTTCTCCCTGCTCAGCCTTCTTCTCCGGCTTGGTGGGCGCCTGTAATCCCAGCACTGTGTGAGGCTGAGGCAGAATGATTGTAAGTTTGAGTCCAGCATGGGTAATCGAGCAACTCAGCGAGACCACTTTCAAAATAAAAAAAAGGGCTGCGGATATAGCTTGGTGCAAAAGCCCTGGATTCAGCCGGGCGTGGTGGTGCACACCTGTAATCCCAGCACTCGGGTGGCTGAGGCAGGAGGATCCCTGTGAGTTCGAGACCAGCCTGGGCTACATAGTGAGTTCCAGGTCAGTCTCAACTACATAGTGAGACCCTGTCTTAAAAAATTGGGGGGGGGGTAGGCCCTGGATTCAATCCCCAGTTCTTAAAAAACCAAAACCCTACCGTGGTCCTCCCCGTTTTCAGAGTGAGATCAAACATTTGCCTCCTGGTGAGGCTTCCAGTAGCCAGGGGACAATGCTGCATGAGTCTCAAAATGAGCACCGGGGCTAATACCTCGGGCCTGGCCTAAAGGGGATTGTTCCTGATTATTTCCTCAGGGTGACGAAGAGGGGTCTAGACAAAGGAGTCTCAAGTTGCCTTTTTTTGTTTTGTTTTTTTTGAGACAGAGTCTCACTATGTAGTTGAGACTGACCTGGAACTCTGTAGCCCAGGCTGGTCTCAAACTTGCAAAGATCCTCCTGCCTCAGCCTCCCGAGTGCTGGGATTACAGGCATGCACCACCACGCCCGGCTGCTCAAATTACCTTTTAAAGAGCTCCCTGACCAAGTGCTCTCTCTTTCTGCACTCATGTCAAATTCCTCTGCACCTTTTCCACCCTTTAAGGCCCAGCTTAGGAGCCCTTGTGTGCCTACCATACCTTTCTCAGCCATAAAGGATGTGTGGCTGACTGGGCTCCCTCACATTTTATGCTCTGCCTGACATTAGCCAGTCCCAAACATGAGATCCCAAAGCTGAGCTGAGTGATCTAAGCTCAATCTTTTTTTAAGAGATGAGTTCGAGGGCTGGAGATGTTGCTCAGTAGTGCTGCGCCTGCCTGGCAAGCGCGAGGTCCTGAGCTGGGACGCACACCCCGCGCCCCCGGGGAGGGGCTGGGAGGGTGGGCGATGAGTTCTCACGATGTCGTCCAGGTTGGCCCCAAACTCTTGGCATCAAGCGACTGTGCCTGGATTGGGCTCTCTGGTCTACCACCTGCTGTGTGACCTCTGGCAGCTGACATAACATCACTGGGCTTGAGTCTCCTCACCCGTACAGTGAGGACAATGGTAAGAGTAGCTACTTCCTAGAGCTGTTGTGAGAGCCACGTTAATGCACAAGACGCAATCAGGGTTCCTGTGTGGGCTCCCCGTGGCCTCCCACCAGACTTAGCCCCTCGAGCTTACCCCGCCTTCCTGGCCACGAAGGCCATGCGCCGGGCTTCTGCCCTCTCCCTCAGTACTGCAGGGTCCTGCACAAAATGGTCAGGCTGTGGAGGGAGAGGGGACAGAGGTTATCGGAGCTGTCCCACTTCCCTCAGCTCTGGTGGGACCATGCTTGACTCAGCCGTGTAGGTGATCCCGTGCTAGGAAAGGGGAGCAGCGACAGCAGGGGAGTCCGGGAGTGCAGCCGGCTCACTGCAGGCTAAGACTCCCATGAGGAAGAGGGCTTGCTGGACAGGCTGCTGGGCTGAATGGACCAGCGCTGGAGCGAGCCAATGACCAAGACAACGCACATGGGAACGAGGGAGAGGAGGCCACCAGGAGAGGCCAAGCGCCCCCTTCCTCCCACTGGCTCATCCTGGGAGGGAGGCCGGGCCTCACTTCGATGCCACCTGCGGGTACAACGGGAGTGCTTGCCCCTGAGGACAGCGGTCTATGCCGAGACTGCAGGAAGCCTGGGCCAGTGCAGGGGAATGACGACCTAAGGCTCATACGTGCGCTGTGGTGACCAGTGGTAAAGTAAGAAACAAAACAAAAGAAACACGATTATGAGCATGTCAAAACAGGCAGATTTTGTATAAAAATTTGGGCCGCTCCCTGGGCTGGAAGGAAGGGAAACCTGAGAAACTCCGGGACCCCTATGTCCAGGACACGCTCCCCACCACTCAGTGCAGTTTCCCGGGAGCCTGCTCAGTCACTCTGGTGACCTGGCCCTGCACACACCTGATCTGTCAACCTGGTGGGAGGGCACAAGGGCTCCAGGGCTCCAGGGCGCCACCTGACCTCAGCAATACTGCTTTGATCTGTTTTATGTTGTGATTCTAGTGACTATTTCAGTTGAAAAAAAGGTTTAGCTGCTAAAAAACAGAATTTTCAAACCCATAGGTACAGATGACCTCCAAGGCCCCTGGAATCTTAACTTCTCTTTGATTTTAAGAATTGTCATTCTGGGCACGGTGGCTCACAGCTGCCCTCTCAGCCCCAGGCTCCTGGGCCTCACGGACTTGGTAACTCAAAGGCCCAGCCTCTAATCTGTCCCCTGGGCCCTCCCCAGGCACTGAGGTTAAGCCAACAGCAATCCAGGCAGACAGCCCCTGCTCCAAGGGACCTCCCTTCCCAGCAGTGCTGCTGGGGCTGCCTCGGGGCCAGGTGCAGGGCGGGGTGGGGATCAAAGCTTTAGAACTGCAGCTCTTCTTCGTCTGCCACCCGCCAAGGAGGTACCTTGGGGCTCTGGTCTTCGGCCTCCTCCTCCTCTTCATCCTCCTCCTCCTCTTCATCCTCCTCCTCCCCTTCCCCGGACACTCCGGTCCTCAGCACCTGAGGGATGGTGAAGGGCCTGCAGGTTTGGAGGGAAAGTGAGATCAAAGGCTAGGTTAGAGCTGAGAGAGCCTCGGGAACCGGGGATCTGGGGCAGAGCGGGGGCCGCCAGGAGGGGAGCAGGCCCGGGAGGCTGGGAATACCACAGGGCTTTGCCCCAGCCTCTGAACGCTTCTCTTCAGGGACCAGGGTCTGACTGGTGGACGAGGAAGAAGCCGAGCTGGGGCTCTTCAGTCTTCCCTTTGGTCAGGGTAGCTCTGCTTTACTCTGTTTTGGGGACTCCCCCTAAGATTCCACCGGGAAAAATATTCTGCACATAAGAAGAAAAGTGCAGGCCAGGCACGGTGACAAGCGCCTGTGATGCCAGCACTTGGGAGGCTGAGGCAGGAAGACCGCCGAAGGTTTGAGGCCAGCCTGGGCTCCACAGTGAGTTAAAGGCCAGCTTGAACTACATAGTGCATAGTAAGACCTTGTCTCCAAAAAATGAAAAAAGAAGAGGAGGAAGAAGAGAAGGAGGAGAAGGAGGAGGAGGAAGAGAAATGGAAAACTATTTCAGGAGACCAAATAAATGCGGCTATCATCAGAATGGACTAAGGTGGAGGAGCACTGGACTGGGAGTCAGGAGTGCGGGCCCCGGTTTTGTCCTGACTCGCCCATGGGATCAAGCCTGGCTTCCCACCTGACACACAGAGGGCGACGAGAGGCGCCCCCAGGCCCTCGGGATGCCACTGCCCACGGCCTCACCTGCGGCCGATGAGGTCATCGTCCGAGTCCGCGTCGTTGGCGCCCACCTGGCTGCCATCGTAGGTGTCATCGTACTCATCCTCGTAGTTGTCACCGTGGTGGTCACTTGGCTGCAGCGGCACCTGAAACCGGGGCGGGGGGGGGGCGGCTCAGGAACCAGTCGGGATCTCCCAGCCCAGCGGAGGCCCGGCCTGGCCAGCCTACCTCCTCCACCACCACGCTGTACCGCTCGTAGCGCTGCCGCTGCGCCGCCACTGCTCGCTTGTCATTCAGCAGGTTCCGAGCGCTGCCCTCCTTCCTGGGACAACAGAGAGGGTTATCAAGCACTGGCGAGGGGAGGGCGGTGGGGCTCTCGCCACTGCTATGGCCCCTCTGTAGGGCATCCCAGAAGCTACTGTTACAGTAACACACGCCTCTCTTTCTCTTGTTCTTCCTCTTTTTTTTTTTTTGGTACCGGGGATTGAACTCCGGTCCTTGTGCTTGCAAGGCAGGCCACTCAGATTTTGCTGAGCTAAATCCCCGGCCCTTTTCTTGTTTTTGGTTCGTTTTTTTTTTTTTTTTGAGACAGGTCTCACTCTGTAGTTGAGGCTGGCCTTGAACTCCTAGCGATCTTCCTGCCTCAGCCTCCCAAGGGCTGGGATCACAGGCATGCGCCACCTCGCTTGGCCAACATCTCTAGCTTTTGACCAAGAAATTCCCCTCCAGGGCACTGATCCGAAGGACTCTCCATCCCCATGCACACAAACAAGAAGCCAAGGCAGAGCTTGGTCAGAGCTTTTTTTGTCAGTTTTGGAAAGTGAATAATGTCCATCCATCGTCAGTGAAACAGGCGCGTGAACTGTGCCGTGTCTGTACTACAGATTGCTGTGCGTAGCTCTCAAAAACAATGCTGACCTATTTGTACTGAAGGAAAGAATTCTATTCCACAGGAGAAAAGAAAGCTACCAAAATCAGAATGATGTTGAAAGCAGTCAACCCCTTTAGCTTCTGTGGGCTCTTAGCTTTGCAAGTAAATGCAGAGAATCCTTAAAGGACAATGGTTACCTGAGGGGTTGGGGTTGTTTCAATCTCTGGTTTTCTGTTGGGTTTTTTAAAAATTTTTTTGTACAGGGGATCAAACTCGGGTCCTTGCCCTTGCGAGGCAGGCGGCGGAACCACTGAGCTAAATCCCCAGCCCTTTCTATGGTGTTAGGTTTCATTTATTGATTTATTTACTTTTGCAGTGGTGCTGGAACTCAGAGCCTCAAGTACCACCCTTTAAAATAAACAGAAAACTAAGCAAGGCCATTTGTGGAGCTCTCCCAACCTCTGGGGTGTGCAGCAGGAGCCCTGACCTCTCCCGTTTAGCCCTTCGCCACAGGAGCTCTCTAGCTACCCGCTGCACAGTCCCACTTATACATAAGAATTCACTGCAAAAACATCCCAGAAGCGCAGTTCCTGCCACAGCACAGGTTAAGGAAACTGAGGGCAGTGTAGGGGAAAAGGGACACTGCTGGAGACACTGGGACCTGCAGCATCGTCCTGGCGGGGACTCAGGCAGGTCTCCTGACCGTGCCTTTGCCAACCTGAAGAAAAACTTGGCTTCTCCGCCGCTCATACAAGCTTGTGGAATGCAGCTTCCAACCCCACAGGGGAAAATCAATATGAGATGCCAGGCAAGAAAATCCAGCTTAGCTGTGAAATTGGGGCTCTGGAACGTATCAAGGGGAGGGGGTAAAGGAGACACAGGCTATCTGCAGCTCCCATAAAAATCTCCTATTAACTGGCTTTGTCACAGCGACGGGCAGGCACCTGAGTGTGTCAGGCTGTCTGCCTGGAGCCTGCAGCAGGCAGGGCTGCAGTCCCCAGCACGGCTTTGCCTTTCCGCGAGTATTGTTTTGTGGTGCTGGGACTGAACCCAGGCCTGCATGGATGCACTGAGTTACATCTCCGGCTTCCCTCCACTTCCCCACTTCTTTTTTAATTTTGAAATTTCTTCTCACTAAGTGTCCCTCAGATGCCCAGGCTGGACTCAAACTCGAGATCCTCCTGCCTCAGCCCCTCCCAGAAAGCTGGGGTTACAGGCATGTGCCACCATGGCCAGGCAACAGTCTTTATTAAGGAAGATAATGTATAAAGAAGACCTGGCACCTTCTGGGCTCAACACAAATGAGTCCTGTTTCTTTTTATTGCAGGACTTGTCAGAGGCTTTAATATGCTAACATGTTCTGTGATTCTCTAAGAGGCAGACATATTTTTGGCCACAGAACCTTGGGTTTTTTTTGTTTTTGTTTTTGTTTGCTGAAGACAGGGTCTCACTGTGTAGTTCAGGCTGGCCTCAAACTCCTGGAAATCCTCCTGCCTCAGCCTCCCGAGTGCTGGGATCACAGGTATGTGCCCCACACCCATCCACAGAACCTTTTTTGAGGGGAACATTTGTTATCTTATAGGGCACTGTGGAATAATCCAAAAGAGTTGGGGGACCTCACCTTACGGACATGGCTTCCTTCATTGGCAATAATATATCTGTGGCACTGATGGTTGGCATCTACGCAACACGCCCTCCACCTCAGCCATACTACTCACAGACCCCCATTTTGTTCAACTCTTTGCACCTCTGCCCTTCATAAAGCCTCAAGTTCTACTCTGTGACTCAACGATCCTGGATAAGAGGGGAATCTGGAAACATCTGGCCTGGTTTCCCAGGATCTAAGAGAGACGAAGACACCCAGACGGGACCTCCTCTTGGCACTGTGTCTCCAGAGCCGGAACAGTGGCCGCACCCTGGGCACCCTTGAGGGAACAAGCCTGATCACGAAGCCGCGGCCGGTAAGGACAGGAGAGGCAGCCGGACCACAGCGTGGCACCACGGGCTCGTCACAGCCCTCCCCCCGCAGCTCCGTGCCACACAAGGGACCAGATCTCCTTCCTACCTAAGCCATGGAGCGTGTCCTACTGGACTCAACGACATACACACAGTGTGACCGACTGTACAGGAAGGAAGGACCCTGAGGTTACACTGCGCCCGATTAGGACACCGTCCCTGCCGAACTCCTGGTGCACCTGACCTCAGCACCCTCGCTCTGCCTCTTCTTGTTCCACTGTCTGTCTTTCCCACGGTCTCTGCCCTTTGAGGGCAAGGCTGGGGCGGCTGGCTCACCTTGTTTTCCTGGTGTCTAGCACAGGATCTGTGCTTGTAAATCACTTAATAAATATTTGCTGAGTGAATAAATAAATAATGAACACATGAATGGAAGCTTTGCCTCTTTGTAATCCCCACCCCCGGGTTAAGCCAGCACAGAGGGTTCAGTAAACACCGGCGGTCCAGGTTCTGCCGGGCAGCCTGGAACACCCCCGCCCTTCCAACGACCCCGACAGCTGGGACCAGGCTCTCGGCAAGTGCTCGTGGGTGACCCATGGCTTGGGTAGGGGGAGTGGGTCCTTACATTACTGTGGCCCTGGGCAAAGCCCCTGATGACGGTCAGGTGAGAAGTCATGCTCAGGGATCTCTAAGATCTATGGGGGACCTACTGAATTAGGCTCCTGGGTTGGAAGATGAAACAGCCTTTTACCAGCCTGGGAGACCCCCTGGGTGCCCCGCTCCCACAGAAAGAGCTATGGAGGGCCCTGGTGGCCCGGGATAGAGGCCACGGACAGAATAACAGCTCTGGCCTGGCATCTTGAGGATGTTGCAGTGTACGTGACTAAGCAGTTTGCAAGGGCTTCCTGCCCAGCCTGCCCGAGGGACTCAGCGCTGTCCTGCACCTGCTTCCCAAACTCTCAGCCGGCCAAGCTTCGAGCAAGCCAAGGAAGGGGACAGCTTGGACTCCACACCAGGGCTCCTAGCAGAAGAACAGGGCCGTGATTGGGAGCAGGGTGGGCTGCGCTTGTCCAGAGGGTCTCAGGCTTCTGGGTCCCACGAACCAACACCATTTCAGAGCTCTGGGAGACCAGCAGGGTTGCCAGTGTCCCATTTTGCCATTGCGGATTTGGCTGTCAAACTCTCTACTGTGACTGCTGACTCTCAGCCCCTCTGGTGGGTCCACATTCTGCAGCTTTTCAAAACAGCATGCGTCAGTTCACGGAACCCTCACCACACTCACGACAGCCCCGGGGTCACTCTGCTCAGAGCTCTACCTTTCCTCCTGTGTGAAGCTGGCTCCTTGGTACCCTTTAGCTCTCGGTCTTCACAGAGAAGACCTAGATCGTCTTCTCAGAGGAGCCTTCCTGCCTGGGTTGGAGCCCACAAAGGTACAGGGGTCAGGACACCTCCATCCTCGTCCTTGCTCTTTCTGCCAGGTGACACTGCTTGTTTGATAAGCTGATTAATACAAACTCCGGGTGGGCACAGGCCGGATCTATTTCACTCCCCACTCCAGTTCCAGAACCTAATTAATCCAGGGCCTAGAATGCTTAAGTACCAGGCAAATATTTGTTGAACGAATAAGTCACAAATGGACTCTTTGATGCTCAAAAATAAGAAGGAAAGAAAACTAAAAGGGCCTACAATGGGATGATCTGTTCACTTCTGGAAAAGTTTACTTAGTGGATAGAAATCTTTTATTTTTTTCATTTTGTTGTAGCCTAGGGAAAATGAGGTCAGAGTGGCTTTCGGGAAGCACTGTTCGGCTCTACTGCCCAGAGTTGACAGTCCACACGTCAAATATATAATACGGGCACGGGGACAGATTTGGCCCCTCCGGCCTTCTGCTATCAACAAAAAGGATTCACTTCCAACTTCCTTGCACAGAGTCACAGCCTGAGGCACAATCACTAAGGAATCTGCGCCCCCCAAATGCACGATGAGCCAATCCCGTCGCTCTGCTCTTCCAGAGCTGGGGTGAGTGGAAGCCCGCAGCCCACCGCACTCACCTCCTGCCCTTGTGTATCCGGCTTCGGTCCACTGAATCCCTGCTGAACACATCAAATTCATCATTCTGGAAGACGTTGTGACGGGACGTCAGGAGGGGGGTGGGGGCCGGCTTTGCCTGTCTGGAGGTACGGAACTCAGTTTAGGGATGCTGTCGGCCAACTCTCTCCTCCCAGGTACTTTTTAAAAGGTCTTTGCACACAAGATCTTGCTAAGGAGCCCAGGCTGGCCCTGCACTCACGATCCTCCTGTCTCAGCCCCCTAAGTGCTGGGATTATGGGCGTGCATCACTCCACCTGGCTCCCCCTGCCGTGTTCCATCAGAACCTTCACTCTGCTTCAATGCTCACAACTAGTCCAGTCCGAAAACCTTTTAGTTAGAAGACAAGGCCCTGCCTGAGTGTGCAGCGCGCCACAGAGGACGCTCCCCACGCACACCGGCTTTCTTTCCATTTTTACAGAGCTCCATCCTTCATTTAATCCTCACCATGGCCCCGGTAAGACAGGGGGTCATAGGTCACTTTTTTTTGGGGTGCTGGGATGGACGTGGGGCCTCGCTCATGCTCTACCATAGGCCGAGCCTCACAGAAGCTGCTCGTGCCTCAGTGCTCAGGAATCTGTCCCGGGCACAGAGATCACTTCGCCTGTTCACTGGGTAAATGTCACTTGTTCATGGAAGAAACGTCCGCTTGTGCCATCTCTCGTGGCGTCCCTTGAGGCGCGGGGGGCAGCAGCGCGCCAGACTCCAAAAGGGTAGGGTACAAAGGACAGGAGAAGCTGTGGACGGGCCCCTCAGAAATCGACTGGGAAGGTGGTAAGGATGAACCGTTCACAAACTCAGGAACTCTGAGGATCTCTGCCATCTCTGTCACATCTGTCTCTGAGCAGTCTTCCCACAAAGTACCGCAGAGACTACGAGCTGTGCCCTGAGAACACCTCGGGAGTCCAGGTTCTGTTTAAATAGCACACTGCCGTGGGGAAGAGAAAGCAAACCAAGCCCTGGGCTGTTTGGGAGGGGAGAGAGGGCGTCAGCCCGGGGCAGCCTGGGTCCCGGTCTCCTCCCCGGTCTGTCGCACCTGTCTAGGCTGCGGTCCAGCTGGCTGAGGGCAGGTGCCAGCCGCCCCTCCAGGATGTTGTTGATCACCTGCTCCGGGTCGTAGACGTAGTGCTCCAGGCAGGCCAGGATGAAGCCCTCCCCAAGGTCTGGCAGCAGGTCCTTCACCTGGGATATGAGCGAGTCCAGTTCAACCCCGCCTATGGTGGGGCCCCGGGAGGTGGCTGCTCCTGTGCACTGCAGTGAGAGATGGGGTGAAGAAGAGGGCGGCTGAGCCCAAGGGTGATGAAGCTACAGACTCAAACAGCGCTGGATTTTCCGTCACGGGATTTACTTTGATTCCTGCCCCTGCCTCTCCTGGCTAGAGGACCTTAGCCAAGTAACTCGAGTTTCTTTGAGCCTCCATTCCCTTCTCTGTGAAAAAGGGGGCTTGATGCTTTGCTATTTTTCTGGCTGTGTGACTATGAGTAGGGTGCTTGCCCTCCCTGAGTTTTTTTCATAAAATTCACTTCTCATCCAACCCCATGGGGTTGTTTCAAATGATTTAAAGACACGATTCACATAAACCAGTGCTGGTATAGACTAAGTATTCTATAAATGGTCATAGTCTACTAATCAATCAAGGCCCTTTACCAAAAGGTATAACAAGTTGATTGGCCAGGCATGGTGGCGCACGCCTATAATCCCAGCACTCGGGAGGCTGAGGCAGGAGGATCTCTGTGAGTTCGAGACCAGCCCGGGCTACATAGTGAGTTCTAGGTCAGTCTCAACTACATAGTGAGACCCTGTCTCAAAAAAACAAACAAACAAACAAACAAATCCACAAACCCCCCCAAAAAACAAAAAAAAACCCCAAAACGAAACAAAACAAAACAAAAAACCCCAAAAAACCAAACAAACAAGTTGATTGGGGGTCGGGGATTTAGCTCAGTGGTTCCACGGCCTGCCTCGCAAGGGCAGGGACCCAAGTTCGATCCCCAGTACCAAAAAAAAGTTTGATTGACATTGCTAGGGAACAGCAAACACTGGGCTGGATGGTGTGGACATGTTCCCCTTTAATTATCTTTAACTATATTCTTTTCACCATTTTATATTCTGCCCATTCATTTTATGTACTGCCCAATAGGGCTTAATTTTCTTAGACTTTTAAAGAAAACTGAAAAATCAAAACGATAATAAAGAGCTGGGTCTATAGCTCAGTGGTACAGTGCTTGCCTCAGCATGCACAAGACCTTGGGTTCCATACCCACAGCCACAGAATAATCATAAAAACAATAAATGATTCAGATAAGAAGCCAAATGGGGAAGAGGGTGTGGAAAGGTGGAGGGGCTGGGAGAATCATGGGGTCCGGGTCCCACAGGAAGAACAGAACACTTGTTAATGGGGAATCGAGGGCCAGCCAGGCCCAGCGCTCTAGGCAGACGCTCTGGGAATCCCAACAACCTCACCGCAGTGGGCACAGTATCTACACCCGCCTTACAGATGAGGGACTGAGGCTGGGAGTGATGTGCTGAGCAGCTATACCCCTGAGCCGCCTGCCCCCAGGCTGGGGTCTCCATCCCTCCGGCACACTGCCGCCCACTACTCGGGGAGCAGTCCTAGGGTCAGCAACCATGCACTTGGCTAGTTCCGGAAAAGCCTGGAGGGGAAGCACTAGACCTGAGGCTTCCAAACTTGTTTAGCGGAGTCCTGTTGGTCGTACGGAGGGGCTTCCAGGGAGGCAAAGTGGTGAGGTTTCCAGGGCCGGAACCAAAGGAGCCCACTTTCACCTGCACAAGGGAGCACTCAGGAACAATTTCATACGCAAAAAGCTTCACCTCTTCATTTCATAGAGGAAACATAGGCTTAATACCTATGTCCTAATACCTGATTCAGCAGGGCCTCTACTTAGGAACAAACTGACCATTGTTTGAGGGTGTCTACTCTAAAGAGACCTTTTTCCTGATTGCAGAAACAAGGACAGGGACAGAATGCGGTTGGGGATGCAGGGAAGGAACACCCCGCACACCCACCTCCTCTTGCTCTGAGTTCTCCCGTTGTGATGGCTTTTGACTGGCTGGCTCTGCCGTCACCGTGACCCCATTATAATCTCTATCAGGGTCCTGGGCCACTGGTGGGTCTTTAGTCTTCACGGCTTTGCGTCTGTCCGCCCCTTCCCACGCACCTTCCACCGCCTGGAGGATGTAGGCAGTGCGTGTCTCATCCCTGTGAGGCTGTGTTAAGGGCCCTTTCTTAGGTTCCACGGCTTCCTCTGCATTCCCAGCTCTGAGACAACTTGATCTCTCACTCTGTCCCCAGCATCTGAGCAGCAGAAGTCATGGGAACCTGGGCCGTAGGGAAGCAGGCCGCATCACGGCCATGTGGGCCTCGCAGCACAGTTCCTGTCATCCAACATGAAGCAGATCTGGGCAGAGACAGGGCTGGGGTCCCCGTCAGTCTCGGGACATGGCGATCAGAAGAGCCAGCAGCTCCTCTTCTGCACTGCCTGCTGGGAGGAGCGCCTAACGGGGCCACTCACTGCCACAGGGCTTCCTGCCAAGCAGCCAAGGACCTTCTAGAGTGGGAAGCTACAGGGTGCCCTGAGGTAGGACTAAGCAACCTACCCAGCAACCAGAAGAGCTCACAGTCCTTCTGCCTCTCTAGCACCCTCGACACGGCCAAACTAGAAATCTGAGAGCTGCCTCCAATACCCTCATTCCACTTCTCGTCCAAATCAGATGCTAGCAACAGCCTCCTCTCTGCCCCTGGAACCTCCTGTGGTCCTAGGCCAGTGTATCCTTCTCCCTGTGCTGAACAGGGCTTTTCTTTCTTTCTTTTTTTTTGTTTTTTGAGACAGAGTCTCACTATGTAGTCGAGACTGACCTGGAACTCACTCTGTAGCCCAGGCTGGTCTCGAACTCACAGTGATCCTCCTGCCTCAGCCTCCCGAGTGCTGGGATTACAGGTGTGCGCCACCTTGAACAGGCTTGAACAGGGCTTTTCTAGTCAACAGCTGCCCATGTTACCTCCTGCTTCACAGCTGTCCACACTTCCCAGCACTCGCAGAACACGGTCCAAACGTCTCAGTGAGGGTCATCACTTCAAGGCCATGCTTACCGCGGGCAGCTCAGCGGTCACACCTCGTCCAATAAGGACCACCCAGCCACACCCTGCACTCTGCATGTGACAGTCGGCTTCCAAGGAGCCTGCTCTTTGTACCCTCTGACTCCTGGGAATACTCTTGTCCTCATCCGAGCTCTTGTCTTTCCATCTGTTGTTTCTGTTCTTAGCTAAACTAAGATAGCACTTCTGTCTCCTGAGCTCCACTAGGTGAGGTGCTGTCTGAATTCCTCATGTATGACTGTCTGTTTACTTGTCCCTTTCCCCTCTTGCAGTGAGCTCTGTGCGTGGCCCAGGTCCAACTTGGTCACACAGGCCCAGACACTTGTGCAACACCTAGAGAAAGAAAGACTATACCGTCCCTGCTCCGGACAGCAAAGCAATCATCTCCTCTAGAGAAAGGGGGTCTGGATGTTGGCTGGCTCTAAGGACTACAGGCTAACTCTGCTCCTGTTTACCCCAGCAGGTCACCCCTGCCCTACTCAGGCCAGCCGTGTGCCAGTTGGCTGTGGTAAAAGGATACAAGACTGACGAGGCCTGTTGGAGCAAGCTGATGTCTTCAGCCACAGGAAAGAGTGCATCATAGTCACGAAGAAACCTGCAGGACAGAGAGCAGACAGGAGGGAAGGGGCTGGAGCTAGAGCGACACTTCTGTTGCAGGCCCCCGCCGTGTCTGTTCCCCAACCACAAGTACCAGGCCCTTGGAGCAGTGGTGAGCACACGGCAGAGGCTCCAGGATAGAAGGTCCCATGGGGACTGGCGGAAAGGCCACAGGCCTGTCCCACTGCTGGTCCCAGCTCAGCCACACTCACCTCTTCTCTTGTAGCAAGGAGCTGAAGATCTGAAGGAATTCCTCGATGAAGCCCTGAACACTGTCACAGCTAGAAAAGGGTACCAGGGAAGATGAGTCCACATAATGCAAGGTGAGGCACAGGTCCCTTCCACACCCGCCCTGCACCCTGCAAGGCTCTGGCTAGTTGGCGGAAACAGGCATTTCTCCAAGTCCCCCATCTCTGCTTGGCAAATCCCACAGAGATGGCAGTACTCTTGCTGAGCTGGGAGAGAGCTGCTAGGGACTCACCTGCTTTCTAGGATGGGAAGGAGGCAGATCTGGGTCAGGATGATGTGAAAAACCTCCATCAGCTTCTTCTTAGAATGGCAGAACCTCTGCCACAGGTCAGCCAACAGCCTTTGCAACCACAATGAAAAGATAAATAGATGTAGGAGACAAAAAAGCACCAGGGGAGCTCTTCTCAGCCCGGTACGCTCCTCCCCAGGGCTGTGTCTTACAGGTCACTGTTGGGAAGCACCGACAAAAGGTGGCCACATGGCCAGCAGGCTCCAGGGCCCACTTCTCAGTTCAACAGTGGGTCAGGAACAGTGGGACTGGTCACCAACAGCTTGGAGCAACAGCTGAAAGGATGCTTAAAGCAGGGGCCAGCTATCCTAGTAACTACTGGAATTTAGGGTCACTGGGTTAATAGACTTAATTACTAAGCAGGACTCTGGGACCGATCTCCCTTGTTCACTGAACTCTCTACTTGTTGCCATCTTTAACCTTCAGACTTCATACAATTCCGTACCAGGGACTTTAAAAAACTCTTGCTGGGTGTGATGGCACACACCTGCGATCCCAGCGTTCTAGGAGGCCGAGGGAGGAGGTCTGTAAATTCAAGCCCAGCCTGGGCAACTTAAGAGACTTCGGGAGATCCTATTTTTAAAAAAAAGGTGGGTTGGGGTGGGGGAGTAGCTGGGAATGTAGCTCAGTGTGAAGGCCCAGAGTTTAACCCCCGATACAGCAAAAGAAAAAGTGCTGAGGGCAGAGCACTTGGTAGAGCACTTGCCTAGCACGCCCTGGGTTTGACCACCCCCCAAAAACAAAAACAACAAAAAACTCTTTGGAATTAAAAAAAAAAGGAAAAAAAGTGCCGCAGCCAGCAATGTCCTAGGCAGGGATGAATGAGCCCAAAGCTGTGCAGTCCTTAGCCCTAGTCCTTTGTCTTAGACACTGGGAACGGTGCAGTCAGGGAAGGGAGGGTCTACGATCGGTCTCCCTTTCCCGTACAACACTCCTTCTTCTGGTCCCGCCTCACTTGCTGTCTTCAAGCCTCCTCTTCTTAACTGCAGACTCCATTTCCGGAATTGCCGCTTCATAGAAGGAAGCTAGCCTGTGGAGGCACACACGGTAACAAGCTAGATTCGTTCATAAATACCACTGTTCCTAAAAACCAAAGCTATCCCCAGGTTATCCCAAGGCTCATTCCCTGCTTCCACAGTGATTTTTTTCCTGGCCCACCCCGTCCTGACCCACTGGGGTTCCATCAGCAGCCTCATGGGAAGTGACTGTAGCTATGTTCCCCATTTAGATGGGATATTCTACCAGAGCAACCAGAGGGCTCCTTGAGGCTTGAGAAACAGACACAAGATTATCCTTTCTACTTGCTCAAAAACTGCTATTTCTTTTTTTTTTTCTTTTGGATACCAGGCATAAAACTCGGGACCTTGCGCTTACGAGGCAGGCAGTGGGCCCTAAAAGTTTCTATTTATCTATGTACAGAAATGTTCATTTATAAACAACCTTTCCTGCTTTAGTTATGAGATATAAAGAGAAAGCTTTAGTTTTGGTGTGAATTAGAATCTTTAAAAATTGTTTTAACGTGAAAATGTCACCACAATATATCTTTGTTCAGAACAGGCTAAATGTGCTCATGATTTAAATATATCCTATTGTCTACACTGGTTCTTTGAATTAAGCAGTTAGTATGGTCTCTATAACTTATAAAACTAAAAATTAACACACACACACACACACACACACACACACACACATAAAATGAGCTGGGTGTGGTGGTGCACACCAGTAATCCCAGCTACTTGGGAGGCTGAAGGAGGAACATCCATAGTTCCTGGCAACACAGCAAGGCCCAGTAAGGGAGAATGGACAGGAATGTTCCAGACAAGGAAAGGATACAATAGCAGGAAGGGCACTCAAGGCAGGTGCAAAGGCTCAGAGTATGTATGAGAAGAGCCAGGGGGTACAGTATAACCTGAGGCACCACAGGAAAAGGAGCCAGTAATAATAAGAGACAGCTCTAGTCTCTCGTGAAAGTCAGATCGGGAGGAACTATGAAGCGCTGGCTGGGGGTAGGGCCTTTATTCTGGGGGCTGTAGAAGCTACTGGAGGCTTTTATCCAAAGGAGCTACAAAGAGATCCTGCTGGGATGAAGAAAGACAGAGAGAACACAGGGAAAAAGGAAGACCACTCTGGCCACTCAGCGCTGCCAGCATCTTCCTTATGCACTAAGAAAGGAGACTGCAGGCCGGGCGTGGTGGCGCACGCCTATAATCCCAGCACTCGGGAGGCTGAGGCAGGAGGATCACTGTGAGCTCGAGACCAGCCTGAGCTACACAGTGAGTTCCAGGTCAGTCTCACTACATAGTGAGACCCTGTCTCAAAAAACCAAAAAAAAAAAAAAAAAGGAGACCGCAGGCACAGGCATCCCCAGGCCAGTGTGAAGGGTCTGTCAGCACACTGACTGGCAATGACAGATGCTGGCCCAATCTCAGTGGCCTCTGGTGTCACTCTTGCCAGGTATTTCTCCCCACCATTTACAACAGCTCCTGGGAGCATACCCATCTCCATCTACCCATCCATCCATTCTGTCATTTACTCAGTCATTCAACAAAACATTTATCTAGTGCTGACACATGCCAGAGATGGCAGCTGGTACTCCGACCCCTCCTTGGTCTTCTCAGATTGGAAAAATCACTAGGACTGATCAGCTTCCAAGACACAGACTGTTAGGACCAAGTGCTGATCGGCAGCATTCTCTCTACAGAAGTTGGGAAAAATAAAAAGAAAGGAGTTGGCACGGGCCTGTAGTTGTCCACTTTGGAAAAAAGGTATCTTGTCTCATGATAAAAGAGGTATGAAGTCAGTAGGAAATTTGGAAAATACAGAAAAGTAGGATCTCGCTGAACAGGCATGAAGTTTGGAGTTGGGGGTGTAAGTTTCAGAAGAGTGGACTTCTCTGCATGGGACAGTGCAGGTGGGATGAGGACCCGCCCATCTCAGAGTGAGGACAGGAAAAGAAAACACTGACTGAAAGCGACTCTGCCCTTGACCCAACACAGCCTGGGCTGGCCCAGCCTGTTCCATTGTGCCGGGGGCCAGGAACAAACGGCAAATGTAGTGACCTCAGCTCCCGACAGCTCTCTTGAAGGGGTTACAGCACCCGGACAGCTTCGCATTCACTCCTCTCACTACCACCTTTCTCCTCCTTACCCTCACATCGTATCTGTTTATATACAAGCAAGGCTTCTTCTTCCCTCCAGTTTTATGAGCGAATGCTCCATGAATGCTGTATCTATGAATGAGTGCCACATGTGGTTCAAAACTCGAAAAGTAGAAAATGCACAGTGAAAAGTTCCCCTCCCTCCGGGTCTGTTCTACTGGCATTAGTATTTTTCCCCAGAGACACGTACTGCATAAGCTTATTTAAGCAGACATACACCTACATACTCTCCCCTCCCACAATTCCTTTCTTCCCCCTATCCTAAGGATTGAACCCGGGGCCTGAAGCATGCTAGCAAAGGGCTCTACCACTGTACAGTATCTCCAGCCCTTTTCTTGTTTTTTACAAACGAAAACGCTGTCACATTATGAGTACTATGTATGTTGTTTGCATTTTTCTTTCCCACTTAAGGGTGGCACAATGGCAATGTTTAAAGCATCTTGCCTTGGGCATGGCTAGGTAGAATTTCACTGTACATATGGGGTACTAGACACCACAGATGGACATTCAAGGTTTTTGTTTTTTTAGTTGTTTGCTATTATAAAAACATGCTGTGAAGCCAGGAATGGTGGTGATGCCACACCTGTAATGCCAGCTCTGGGGGACTGAGGCAGGAGGATCACAAGTTCGAGACCAGCCTGAGCAATTTAGCAACTTAGTAAGACACTGTCTCAAAATGTAAGAGGGCTAGAGATGTAGCTCAGGGCGAAGACTCTGGGTTCAATTCCCCAGTACTGAAAAAACAAAACCCATGTTGCACAGAATAGCTTTGCGCACGTATTATTTCACACCTTTGCAAGTATATGTGAGGAATAATTCCTAGAAGTAGAACCGAAAGGACAGGTGGCACGTTCATCTTTAATTCTCACAGATCTTGCCAAATCACCCTGCACAGAGGTTGTTCCAATTTACCCTCCCATCAGCAACGTATCCTGGCAACAACTGAGCCTGCCTGGGCCAAGATGCCTTCTCCGTCCCCTTCTGGTGCCATGCCGAGGAGGGCCTGCCTCTTCTGGCTTAGTTAGACAAGTGTCTAACTAAGATTCTGCACTTAGGCTGCAGTTCTGGCTTTGGGAAGCTTAAGATGTTTGGAGGAGGAATTATACCACAGAAAAGAGGCAGCTGCATTTCAATTGTTAGAGCTGCCCATGCTATGTGCAGCGCATCTGGTTCTGGTAAGGAAGAATCCCGTGGGTGAGCACGACCAGGAAGCACGAGGGGTGGGGGTTAGAACGGCGCAGGAGCAGAGGGAGGTGCGGAAGAGAAAGAGGAAGGGAACATGGCCAGTGCTAGCCTGAGGGAAAGTCGGAGGACAGCGGCACACTGATCTCTAGGACAGCGAAGGGCTGTGTGCCTCGGCCGGGCAGTTTGGATCTGAGCCAGGAAGGCATGGGTATGAGGTGGCAGAGGTGAGGGCAAGGTTGGCTAGGCTGGGCCAGGTATGGATGTGCCCGAGAGAACTATGGTAGGAGGGAGCGGGTGGTAGTTGTTTTCTTTCTTCAGGTATTAGTACATCTGAAAATGATTCTGTGTATATAATTTTTTTTTTTTTTTTTTTTTTTTTTTATCTTGCTATGTTGCCCAGGCTGGTCTCAAATGCCTGGGCTTAAGTGATCCTCCTACCTCAGCTTCCTAAATAATCAGCACTGCAGGTGTGTGCCACCACACCTGACTACCTGTTCGGTCTTAAAGATTCCTGTAAAGGTGACCCCCCAAAGGGGCACCTCGTGTTTCTTTGTGTATGTTCTCCCCTGTGCCAGATCCCTTTATATTGACTGCCACTCCCCATGCCTGCCCCTGACAGGGGCTTTGAAACAAAGCAGAACTGAAATCGTTTTCTTCTTGTCACACTCTGCCCCATTCTGTTCTTAGCCAAAATCTGCAGTGATTCTAAAACGCAGGCACGGGCCGGGGATTTAGCTCAGTGCTTCGGTGGCCTGTCTTGCAAGTGCAAGGATCCAAGTTCAATCCCCGGTACCAAGAAAAAAAAAAAAAGCAGGCTCCTTACAAACTGGAGCCTTATCTGTCTTCCCCTCTGCAGCAGTCCCAGGCTGGAGGGATCAGCACACTCACAGGACCTCATAAATATGTGTTGAATGAGTACGTGGACTGGAGTTTCTATTTCAACAGCCAGAACTCCCACTGCACCTGTAACAGAAGTCATGTTTCTGGAAGGTTGGGCAAGCCAAAGGGAAGATATCCAGAAAGGCCCAGAGCGTAGTGCAGGTATCACAAAGGTAGAGAATAATGTCCTTTAGCTCCTGTTGAGAGGAAAAAAAAAAACAAAACAAAAATGCTGCATTATTCTCCTCTGTCCCATAGACAGCTCTGTAGAGTCTGAAACACAGTTGACAAAATCAAGGTTCCTATCTGGGTGTGGGGCCACATGCCTATAATCTCGGCCACTCAGGCAGGAAGATCGCTGTAAGTTCAAGGCCAGCCTGGGCTACAAAGTGAGTTCAAGGCCAACTTGAACTGCATAGTGAGACCCTGTCTCAAAAAAACAAAGGAAAAAAAAAAAAAATTAGGGTCCGCAACAGGCAGAACACTGCTTGAGGAGAAAAGAACAAGGGAGGCCCTATGACACAGCCAGCCCGGTCCATCTCCAGGAGCTCAGTCTGGGTGAGCCCCCCAAAGGCCCTGCTAATGCAACTTCAATGGGCTCTCAGTCAGTGACTGCCAAGGTCACTCCTAGCAGCTTAAAGGTAATATTGTGTCTCTTCTACATGGAAGAAAAACCAAGCATTGAATTGGAACTCAAACCCCCTGGTCCCACAGAGAGTGGGTACATCCCAGTGAGGACCAGAATATCAAGCTTACACTTTCCTGTGTGTGTGTGTGTGTGTGTGTGTGTGAGAGAGAGAGAGAGAGAGAAAGAAAGAGAGAGGGAGACAGGGTCTCACCATGTAGTTCAGGCTGGTCTTGAACTCACTCTGTAGCCTAGATGGGCCTCGAACTCACAGCGATCCTCTTGCCTCCACCTGAGTGCTGGAATTAAGGCACGCACTACCACATCCAGCTTTTCCCTCTCATTTAGAAGAGTGTATTTAGGATACGGGGTGCTTGCTTACCTGGTTGCCGAGTCTCACAACAACTCTGAGGGATAGGCTAAATAGCGGTTAGGATCTATGCTTTATAGATACGGAGACTGAGCTTAAAGAGGTAAAACAATTTGCTTCCACAGCACCTGAAACACTTGTCTGATGGCTCTTTTTCCAGCAGATCATAAGCTCCATAGGGTGGTTCTCAGCTGCCTTGTTCCTGCTCTCTTCCCTGCTGAGCATGGTGCCTGACATACGTCCAAGCTCCTTAAATATCTGCCTTCTGTCTGTCGGCCTCTGACAGTAAGGCCACAAGAGCAGGTGCCTCGTCTGTTTCCCTAGTGCTTCACCCCCAAGGCCCATTAGCACATGCTGGAGGCCCCCCCACATAAACTCACTGAACGGGAGATTAATGCACAAAGGAGCTTGCTGAGCTGAACCAAGTAAGGCCTAGGCCCTTGTCTCTGATTTCTAGTGACATGTTCTTTTTTTGTACTCCACAAATGAAGCTCCCAGGTGGAAATATAAGACTATTAAAAATACTCTTAACCTGTGAAATAGGAAGAAAAGTGCTAAAGGTGTAGGGGAACTGACATAAGGGAAAAGAAAAAATAGGAGAAAATGAAAAAATGGAAACCAAGTCTTTGTAAATAGGGAAGGGAGGAGGGGGTGAAGGGAGGGCAGGGGAATGGGGAAAAAATGAGAACCAAGGCCTGTCATGTAAAGGTCCAAGATCCCGATGATGAATGTAACTGTACTGTGTCCCTAAAATTTACCAATAAACTCAACGAGGTGGGGGGGGGGGGGAAATAGTTGCTGAGTCAGAGAAAGAAGCTATGAACAGGGCCAGAAGCCACCACTGGGTCCTCTGTCATGGCAATATTCCCAGCCTCGGAGCAGCAAGTGCTTTGTCTGGAAAGAGCCTGGGGTGGAGGGTGGTCTCACCAGGAGAGGCATGTCGCTGGGGGTCAACCGGCCCCTCTCCTCAAGCTTCTGGGGTGTGCTGCTGGCTCCGTCCCCTTGCAAACCACATTGCTGGAGGATGTTGCTGAAGACCTGTGAAAGGCAAGAAGGAACTCTCCCGTATCCCAAAGAGCCAATGGTGGGACTCCCACCCCATGGCTAGGGACAGGTCATCCTATTCCAGGATACCAGCTGAGATAATTAATGACCTTCTCAGACAGCAGGGTCAGAGCAGAAACTCTGTGACATGGGGAAGGGGGAAGCATCCTTCCTTTTTTTTTTTGCTTTTGTTTTTTTTGAGACAGGGTTTCACCGTGTAGTTGAGACTGACCTGGAACTCACTGTGTAGCCCAGGCTGGCCTTGAACTCACAGCGATCCTCCTGCCTCAGCCTCCCAAGTGCTGGGATGACAGGTGTGAGCCACCACGCCTGGCTGGAAGCATCATTCTTATTGAATTGTGGTGAGGATGAAAAACACAACATGTGGGGTTGGGGAGATAGCTCAGCGTTGAGCTTGCCTTTACGAGTGAACCCCTAGCTTCCAGCCCCAGCGCTGCAAAATAAAACAAAATAAAAAATCCACAGCATGTATGTGAGGCCTCAAGAATCCTGCAAGTATGATCTGACTAGACAGGCTGAGCAGATGTATGGTGACGAACATTTGAGATATATTGTCACCGACATACAATAGATTTTTAGATCCTCTGTACACAGCTACTTGTGGGAGCAATACTTTAATAAAGACAACAGTGGGGGAAAAGAAAGCCCGTGGTAAAATCATGCAAGCATTGAACTGACGGCACCATCTTTGGGCTGCCGTGTAACTATTCCAAAAGTTACGAAGAACGGTGGGGACTGTGAGGGAATAGTATTCTCCTTCCTGTTTTTTAATGTTTTCCATAGTGAACATCATTCTTTTGTGAAATGATTTTGTAAGCTTAAAGTTTTTTTTTTGGTACTGGGGATTGTACTTGGGCCCCTGCACTTCTGAGGCGGGCGTTGGAACCACTGAGCTAAATCCCCAGCTCTGTAAAACTGAAAAGTTCTTGATAAACTCAGATCGCTTGGAGGGATGTCCTCAGAGGCAACGACTGTTGGCAACCATGAAAGCCAAACTCTGTGTGAGTGTCACGTAGCCCTTAGATTTCAGTCCTGTTAAAGAGGACAAAAGGGCAAATTCAAAGGGGTGTGGCCAGAGACAGGACCAAGGCAGTCTGAGAAGATGGTCTACAGAAAGTGGTAAGGCATAAACATTCCTCCCCAGCTCTTCCAAAAAAGACAAAGAACACTATCAAGTGGGGAAGGGTCTGCCTCCCCAGCTCACCCTCCCCGGGGCAGGGCCAAGAGCTGATACCTGAAGGATGGTGGGCATGGTTTCATCCAGGTCATTATAGTAACTTGGTTGCTGAATAAAGATATTTCCTGCGGGGGGGGGGAGTAGGAAGTGGGGAGAGGTAGAAAGATTACATTAGAAACAGTCGCCGGCGTGTTCTGTGTTCTATCTCCCTTCTCCTACGCATCTCTGAGGTTAGGACCTTTGACAAGTCCTGGCCTTGGGCCTTGCTGGCACTGAAGTTTGGCCCAGCCCAGAAACTTCCCCCAGACTGGGGAAGGGCTTTCCTCAGTACAGTTTAACCTTTTAAGTACTTCTGTCTAGTGAATTACATAAAACAACTGGCCTGGTCAAACCGGCTTGCTCTGATGTCCTCAGGGAAGTGACCAAATGTACGCACCACGCCTCAAGTGTGACAGCACTGGCTTTAGAAGTGGGAGTTAGTCATCCAGGAAACTTAGGAAATATGATCTCTTTGCTCATGAAACCTGGATGCAACAATGCCAGGACATGCCTCCAAAGATGTGAGGAGCCTCCAGGAAAAATTTCTCTAAATACTGTCGCTTCTGAATATGCTATCACTTCATTCTATGCCAAGTTAAGGGGCTCTAGAGATGGGTTCAGCGCACATGTACGGTTGTTCCTCTCACACAGAGCTCTTGGGGCAGCCCACTTTCCAGTCCCTCTTCTGTTTCTCTTAGACAGAAGCTTTCTTTCTCTCAATAAAATTTTCCTACTCTTAACTTCCGTTGTTTCTAGAATTCATTCTTTGATTTTTTTTTTTTTTTTTTTTTTTTTTTTGGTGTTTCTTTTTA